AGAATCAAAGTATAAACTAGGTCATCCTGTGAAATCTCCCAAGGCCCACAACCAGAGTGTAATCTCAGGATTAAAACCTGCTATAAGCCCCAGAGAGCTTGCTGCCTCCACAATAAGCACTACTGCACTCAAGAAGCAACAAAAGTCTGACCCATATTAATTGTGTTGTTCAAAACATTTCAGGACAAACACAGTAAACACTTCTCTCTAGCCTACCAAACCCAGATATTCCAGTTAGCAAAAACAACTCCTATCACATCAGCCTCACAGTTTCTCCCCCTCTCCTCCCGATCCAGTACCTGGTAGACAAAGCAAATAGTAGGTGCTTGGCAACCATATAGGAACTTGACATCAATGACGTGCAGCTCCTCCAGGCGGATGTTGAAGGCCTTGAGTTCTTTATTATCGCGATCTAGTGGAATAACCTTGAAAAGGCCATCATAGAGACGCAAGCCAATCATCCGGCACTCAGGGTCAATGATGCCAATAATGCCGGTCTCCGAGGGGCGGCCAATGCGGTCCTGAGAAACAAAATTTGGATTAGGGAAGAACCTCAACATCCACAGAGCAACAGAGGACACTGGGCACTACTTGCAAAGAAAAACTTTAGGAGAGGAAGTAAAACTAATGGATCTATTTCATAGGCCAAATAGTTGGAGCCCCAATGTCAGTGCATGTCTTTTTCACGAAACACTGAATCTCAATGAATTATTGCTCTGTCCCTTGGGCCTTGAGTGAACTAAAGGAGTCTTTTCTCCAAAAAGCTCAAACCCGTAGTGTCTTCTCCTCGTTTCTCTGATCAAATAGCGAGCTACCCCCAGCATTTTAATTTTTTTCCATGAATCATGACAGTCCTACTTAGAAAACTTTTGTCAGCCTAAAGCAGCCACCTCACCTGGACATTGCCATGGGCTCGTGTAATGATGTCAATGCTCTCGCCACTCTGCTTATACTCCAGGATGCAGGCATTGTACTTCGCTGTCAAGATAAACAGCAGGTCCTTGCTCTCCCCCTGGAAACCAATGTTATGCTATCAAAAGAGATTCTTTTTAAAACAGGAACAACCTGTCCAGTCTTTAAGCACACCAAATTCTTTAAGAATTTTCCAAATTCTTCTCTCCCTAAAGAGAAAATACATGGTGAGCTTGTAACCCACACTAGGTACACATACACCCTAAGGGCACGTACAAAAAGCCAGAACTGAAGCTGGTAAACATCTATTTCTCACTTTCATTATTCTCCATCTCTCTGTTCTATATACAAAGTCTTCATCTATTTCAATCTCAAGCTAATCTCAATCATCCCATTCAAATTCTGAAACATGAATGTAATGCCTCCACTCCTCTCCAAGTATTTGAAGAAAGAGAAAAAAAAATGTGGGAATAACAACGGAAGCTAAAATGGATCAAAAAAGTCTTACTTATTTAACACAGACTCCAAAAAATTACTGTTTTGTTCAAAGGGTTATAATTAAAATTCTGAACCCGCTGCTTTCTTGCCAGATTCAGTTAGGATATCATAAAGGAATGTAGTGGTGATTTGGGTGAATACATTTGCACTAAAATAATAAAAATACTGATGGTAATTGTTTTTTTGTTTTTGTTTTTTGGTTTTTTTTTTTTTTTTTTGAGACGGAGTCTCATTCTGTCACCCAGGCTGGAGTGCAATGGGCACCATCTCCGCTCACTGCAACCTCCGCCTCCTGGGTTCAAGCAATTCTCGTGCCTCAGCCTGCCAAGTAGCTGGGATTACAGGCGCATGCCACCACATCTGGCTAACTTTTGTATTTTTAGTAGAGACAGGGTTTCACCATGTTGGCCAGGCTGGTCTCGAACTCCTGACCTCAGGTGATCCACCCACCTTGGCCTCCCAAAGTGCTGGGGTTACAGGCGTGAGCCACCACATCCAGCCTGGTAATTGTTAACATAACTTTAAATACTTGCTATATGATAGGCCCTGTGTTACCGAATCATTTCATCTTCAAAATAACCCAGGGGACTTGATCTGAAAGGTGCCTCAAGTGACACCTAAAGTCAGAATTAACAAGGAATGAAGCCAGGACTGCCCCACTCTGTAACCTATCCTCTGAAACAAACTGCTTTAATTTCTGACTCCTAAAGAAGTCAACTTCATAAATGTTTCCCTAATAAATCTCTCCTTTTACTTCTAGAAAGCTTGGTCAAGAGTACATACTGAAATTTGCCATCCAAAGAGAGAAAAAAGAGAAGAGAGTTTCTCTCCTAATGTATATTCCACCCATCCCAAGAATTCGCAAAACAACGTAACACAGCCCGGCACGGTGGCGCATGCCTACAATCACTCAGCTACTCTACTCCAGAGGCTGAAGCGGAGGGATTGCTTGAGCCCAGGAGTTCAAGACATCCTGGGCAACACTGTGAGACACCCGTTTCAAAGGAAATAAATAAACAAAAACAACATAAAACAACCTACAACCAACAGTTCTCCCTCCACTGCTTGTCCCAACTGCAACACTTACCTTGGGCCTGAAAAGCTCCATGACCGCAATCTTCCCGTACATGCCCACCTCTTTGACGGGCCGAAGCCCCTCGGCAGTGACCACGTAGATCTCTAATCTCGTGTTTTTGGCAATCAACAGGTTTAAGTCTTCGGCTGAAGTAAAGTGTCCTGAAAGAACAGACCGTCTAACTTTTGAACTCAGGGGAAGGGCCTCCCATCCCTTCAAAATAATCCTATCACTTATGCCTAAATACCTCCAAAATTCTCATTTACTTCACATACTTCTCCAACTCCCTCCAGGTACTACTCCCCTTCTTATCATACCCGGCACCTCAAAGAGTCTCAGTTCATGCATTCAACAAAGCTACTTTCCTAATCAGACTAAGAAAACTGGACTGGACCTAAGAGCCGTGTGTCCTCCAACTGACAATGACTTCGTAATCCCTTCTCATGGCTCTCGTCCCTCAAATTTTACTCTTCCTATTACGGTTACAGTGGCAGGCTCTAATTGAGAATGCCAGAGAAAGTGTTCATTTCTTCCAGTGTTCATCTAAAGCCTCACAAAACTTTTATCTGACAGACCAAGTCAAATGAAAAGTCCCCGAGCTTTACACGAAAACACTGTTTTGTCCACCCTCCCTGCCCTCCTGGTAGTCTACCAATTCCCCCTTCCACACTCAGCTACCTCCAACTCTGAAAAACAGCTTTGTTTTGGAATCGTGATTAGGGTGTATATAAACATGCAAGCTTGGGGTCGGCATATTCAGCTGAGAATGTGGGTTAAGAGGACTCTTCCCGGGTTCTGGACTTAGGTGTCCTTAACAGTCCAAGCGCATCGTCAATAAGGAAAACTCAGCACTGGGCCAGGCAAACCAAACCCTCTTCTCTAGCACGGCCCTCATGTAAACAACTGCCCCAGGCAAAGGGGTTAGCCTGAAGAGGGCTCCTCTCCCTCTGTAGGATAATGCGGGCATTCCTCACATCCCTCCACCTCCTGGGCCCCCCAGACTCCCCCACAGGAAAAACCTGACCCCAAAGTCGCCATTACCACCTCCCCCTTTCCCGGCCACAGGAGGCCAATCTTCCGGGCCAAGTAACACCGCACAACCAACTCACACTCCTCTGTCTCACTGGGCCCGCCCTGTCCTCGAGGCCGAGTGACCTCCCCAGGACGAAAGGGGACCCCCGAGAGCGGCTTCCAAGCCCCAAAAAGCGCGTACTGGGACGGCTCTTTCGAGGTCGCGGGATTGGGGAGGTTCCTTGGCCGCCAGGGCCTTCCATTAGCCGAGCCGACTCCTGCCCGGCCGCCCCGGGGACCGCGGGCCTCCCTAGGCCGCGGCTCCCCCCAGCTCCCTCCCTCGCCGGGGTCTCCGGCCCCGGCAGCCTCACCGGTCACGCAGCCGTTCACGGCGGTGGGCTTCTGGGCCGTTACCACGTAGTTGTACGACATGTCGAGGCTTAGAGCGGCTCGTCGGGACGCGAGCGCGACACTAGAGAGACGGACACAAGCAAAGAGACAGGTGGCCCCCAACAGCGCGCAGCGAACTCCACTGCCGCTGCCTCCGCCCCAGAGACACGTTGCAGGCCAGAGCGGCCGGGGCGCGGGGCATCACGGGACGGCCTCACCTGGCCTCTTGGAGGACTCCCGAAGCCCGAGGCCGCCAACCGAAGGAGGCCCCGCCCCCGGAGGCGCCGCCTCGCCTCTTTCCGCCAGCGCCCGCAGGACCCGGATGAGAGCTCACCACTGGGGGTCCCCGGGAAGTCGCGGAGGCTTCGGAGGTGGCGGATGCGGCTGTGAGCTGGCGGGGGAGGTGCGCCAGTGTCCTCGGAGCTCGCCCGCGGACTCCCCACCCCGTTCCGCGCCCTTTGCCCTTCCCCGCATCCAGTCCTCTTTCTTCCGTTGCTCCAGGAGCCCTCGGGGCTGTTCCTCCTTTTGGAACGGGAAGGACTGCGGAGGCCTAGAGAGGGAAGGGAGACGACCGCTATTCGTGCACATCCCAGACTAGAACCTTGCCTGCCTTCCTTTCACTCTCTCAGTTGCTCCAGATCCAGCTGGTGCCCTCGCCTGACGTTAGAACGACCACCGGCTCACCTCCTCCCTTTTGAACGACCACCGGCTCACCTCCTCCCTTTTGCGCGTTGATTCTTCAGACTTCAAAAGGCCCACTGGTCTGCTTGCCCAACGTGATTGGTGCCCCTATTACTCTACGAATTCGAACCTCAAACACAAAACCAACATTTCTCCGTAGGGAACCTTAATGAGCCAGGAGGGCAGTCAGCCCTGCAGCCTCCAGGGTGCCCCACATCAAACAGGCTCCCCGGGAACAAGAGGAAAACCACATGGCTTGGCACACTAGCAGAATGCCAGAGAGGAGCCAACCCCCATTTTACAGATGGGGAAGCTGAGGCTTAGGGAGGAATTGGTTTACCTAAGACCCTCCCCCCAACCCCAAGTAGGCTGAGGCAGAGCTATGTTGATTCTTCCTATTGTGCACCCCACACAGAGGCCAACACGCGGCTGAACCAGGCTGAACTGAGGAAAGCTAGAACGTCATCGTGGTTTACGTCTTGCCCTTGCCACAGCAGAGACTCTGCCTGACTTTGGAGGCACGGAATTATCAGTAGTAAACACACAGTCCTGGTAGAAAAACTAGACATGGATTTAGATCCTGGCTCCTACCTGTATGACCTTGGACAGGTCCCTAGAGCTCTCTCAGTCTGTTTGCTGGAAGTAAAATGGGTCACAAACCTGGCTAGCTCCCCCCATTCCCTGCCCTTTTGGTGCCAAGGACAGTGAGGGCAAGCGTGTGAAGAGCTTTGTTAACTTTTTCACTGCATGTGATGCCCGTGTAAAAGATAGTTATTCTGAGGATCACTGTTCTTTAGTGATGAAGTGGGTGCTGTTCCTGGGCATAAAGGCAGCCCTGTGCCTGACATGGATTGATCTGTCTTCTGGCAGCCAAGTGCAGGCGTGAACCTTGGTCAACCCCACACTCTTCTCCATCCGTAGCCCACGTACTAGAGTTTGGACTTGGACCGAAGTCTGGGGCAGCTCCCTAATTACTAGGGCGCTTAAGCGTGATTGTGCCAGTCGGCTGTGAGTGCCTTCTGCAGCTTGTACCATTACCCACTCCTGCAGGTGCTGCTGCTGCCTCCACTGTACTCAGACCCGGGTAGCACAGGATTGTCCATCCTCCAGCAGTTCAGTGCAACGGTGTGAACTCAGCCTGTTTCAGAGCCTCCCCACCATGGTGAGTCATACAGGGCCGGGGTAGGGGAATGGCAGCATGGCCGCAAAGCAGGATCCCGGCCTTGGGCATGCTAGAGCTGCTTACACCTTGACTGAGAGATGCTCCTGCCTCCTGAGGCTCACAGGTGAAGAGAGAGGGTCCTCTCTCCCAGGGCCTGATCCCTGCTTTTCTTCATTTCCTGGAGGCCACTGGTCCCAGCCAGGCCTGGGGCTGCAGCCTCTTGAGTCCCTTCAGAGCCGTTGTGCCCCCTATCTGGGTCTTGCATTCAAAGTGAAACAGTAACAGTTACCTGCTCTGTAATAGATACTGTACCAGTCACAGAAGGAACCATGAAGAATGATCATGTGACTGTTCCTAACCTTGGGGCTTATGTGGGCCGGTCTGGAGCTGGGATCTACAGTGTGGGAGGCTGGCCATGAACCTGGGCTTTGCTCCAGGCCCACTGATTTGAATCAAAACAAGCCTTGAACATATCTGGATTCAAATTTCAGCCTGCCACTGACCAGCTGCATGACCTTTTGCAGAATATTTGACCTCTCTGAGCCTCTTTTTCTTCATCTGCATTACAAGGCAAATTAAGGCCTACCCCTAGTGGTTGTGTGGTGTTGATCAAGCAGAGTCCTGGAGGCCTCACCTGACTTCCTTTCCTTTTCCATCCTCTCAGGCCACTGAAACCAGGGATAGCACTGGTCCCTAAACCCTCCTCTGGCTCTGGCAGAGGGATTGTTGAAAATCACAGGCAAGACAGATTATCAAGATGGGGAGCAGGCCACTTTCTTGGAGGGTAGTGGTGCTGGAGGCTGGGCTTGGAGTGAGGCCAACTCACAACTTCATTGTATGTTCCAGTCCCTGATAGGCTCTGAGAGCCACAAGCCCATGCCCTTTCTAGGGCAACCTCTGTCACCCTCCACCTCCGTCACCCTCCACCTCCCTCCAGCCCCTCGAGAAAGCAGCATGATATGGCCAAAAGGGAACCAGCTTTGGAGCCAGGCAGACCTGGACACCTGCTGGCTGTGTGACCTTGGGCAAAATCGTTTAACTGTGCCTCAGTTGCCTCACTGGGCTCATCTTTCCTCCATAGGGTTGTTGGGAAGTTTGTTTTTGGTTTTTGTTTTTTTGTTTTTTGAGACGGAGTTTTGCTCTTGTTGCCCAGGCTGGAGTGCAATGGCGCAGTCTTGGCTCACCGCATCCTCTGCCTCTCAGGTTCAAGTGATTCTCCTGCCTCAGCCTCCTGAGTTGCTGGAATTACAGCCATGCACCACCACGCCCAGCTAACTTTGTATTTTTAGTAGAAATGGGGTTTCTCCATGTTGGTCAGGCTGGTCTTGAACTCCCAACCTCAGGTAATCCGCCCACCTCGGCCTTCCAAAGTGCTGGGATTACAGGCATGAGCTACCACACCCGGCTTGTTAGGAAGATTAAATGAGACATGCTCAAAAACACTTAGAACTGAGCCTGGCGCTTAGTCACTGCTCGGCAAATGGAACCAATCTTCTTATTCTTCTCGCTCCCTACAGACCTAGGCTACTCTGAAGCAGGTGGCTTAGCCCTGGCCCTGGCTGGGTGCAGGACAGGTTGGCAGGGAGGCAGCAGAGCCAAATTTTGTACAAAGGAGCTGGTGCTACCGGGTCAGGAAGAAGCCACAGCCAGAAGTTCACCTTGCCAGGCCCTGGCTCAGCTGCAGGTTCCCACTGGGCCACCAGGTGGCGGTGGGAGCCCAGCCCTCTGAGTCCAGGTTGCGCCCCAGTCTCTGTCTTCAGGACAAAACCAGGGGCTACAGCCCTTGTTCAGGCTTTTCACAGCCTGTTTGAAAAAGGGAGTCGCTTCCTGTGATTGAGTTTCCACTATATGACGGGCATATACTCTGTTCTAGTAAATCCCTATTTTACAGAGGAAGAATTATAGCTCCCAACAACGATGTTATCTTCCCTGAGTTCCGGCAGCTAATCAGAGGCAGAAGTGGGATTTGAACCCAAGTCCCTGTAACAGCAGAGCTCAAGCCACGCTCCATTCTGGCCCCCACGCTACTCACTTCTGTCTGCACCCCGTATCCACTCAGCCAAGCCTGGCGGTGCTGCTCTGCAACCCTCCACCAGCCTGCCCACAACCCCTCCTGAGGCTGCCTGTGGCCAGCCCTCTCCTCCTCACCCCTCCCTGCTGGTCAACCATGCTTCCTGGCACCACCACACTATTCACTCATCCAGGCCTTGGCTTATGCTCCCCCTCTGGCTGGAAGAGCCTCCCTTTTCCCTCCCCCCATACCTCCTGTCCCCTTTTGCCTACCCCGGTCCTGCTTATCCTTCACAGAGACCTCCAGGCCCCTCAGGAGGCTGCGGCCCCTCCTCCATGCTCCCATGGTGCACGTGCACTCCTCGCATAGCGGTGCCCACCACACATGGTTGTGACCTCTGCTGTGTTTCCCCTGAGGGCAGGAATAGCGTTGTTATCTCTTTTTTTATTTCTGAGATGGAGTCTCACTCTCACCCAGGCTGGAGTGCAGTGGCACGATGACAGCTCACTGCAGCCATGACCTCCCAGGTTCAAGCGATCCTCCCACCTCAGCATTCCCAGTAGTGGGACTCTAGGCATGCACCACTATGCCTGGATCATTTTTCATATTTTTTGTAGAGATGGAGTCTCATGTTGCCTAGGCCACTCTCAAAGTCTTGGGCTCAAGCGATCTGCCTGCCTCAGCCTCCCAAAGTGCTGGGATTACAGGCATGAGCCACCGCACCTGGGCTGTTATCTCTACACACTGTCTACCGCTGGGCCTGGCATGCCAAGAGGCTGGGGAAATGTTTGTCCCACACTGGAGCACCAGGGAGCAGCGGTGGCTGTGAAACCTGCTCAGCTCCTCCCCCAGCATTGGAGCCTCAGCCTGGGGCTTTTCTTCCTTTTGACAGAAGAAGGTGTTGGGCCCCAGTTTTATTAAAATATTTTACACTGCAGACAACAACTCCCCCATTTTCTTTGTATTGCAGCCATTTTTTCAGAATAAATTGAAGGTATGGTGCAAGACACTTCATAAATTAGGTACTGAATAGAAAGTCACACATTATTGAAAACTCACAGAAATACCCACCTGTCACCCAACTCAAGGAAGTCCTACGCTCCTAGAGTTCGTAGGTGGATGCGGGAGAGGGGTCTACACAACAGCAGTGTGGCTGGGCAGGATGGGGGTGTCTGTGCTGACCACACTCTGACATCCTTCTCACTCCTCCCCTGCAGACCTCCAAGAAGCTGGTGAACTCGGTGGCTGGCTGTGCTGATGACGCCCTTGCTGGCCTGGTGGCCTGCAACCCCAACCTGCAGCTGCTGCAGGGCCACCGCGTGGCCCTCCGTTCTGACCTGGACAGCCTCAAGGGCCGGGTGGCACTGCTGTCGGGTGGGGGCTCTGGCCATGAGCCTGCCCATGCTGGTGAGTACCCTGGGGTGGGGCAGGGGGTACTGGTGGAGTGGACAGGGCCTCCTGTGAGATCCTCAGTGCTGCCATGAGGTGCAGGACGGAGCCCAACCCAGAGTCAGGAACTGGGGCCGCTTCCCACTCTCCCACTCCCTCCGGCTGGGATCAGGGGCCCATCACGGCCTCTCTGAATCTGTTTCTACATCTACAAAACTATGAAGTTGGGCCAAACAATCCCTCAAGTCCTTCTAGCTCTGAGAGTCAGTGATTCCATGAATCTTCTGGACCCTCCAGGCCCAGCAGACCCACCCCCTCTTCCGTGAAGGCTTCCTGACTCTTCCAGCCTAGAGCAGCACCCCTCTTCTGAATTCCCACCTGCCGTGTCCCACACCTGGAGCCAGGGACGCGAACTCTCCTTGAGGGCTGCTGGAGGGCAGGGACTAGGATGCGCATCATTTGTCCCCTTCCTGTCTTCCTTCAGCAAAATCCATTCATTTGGCAAACACTCATGAGCCCATTGTGTACCTGGCACTGTACTGGGCACTAGGGATACAGCAATGAAGCAGACAGGCAAGGTCCCTGCCCTCGTGGAGCTTTTATTCTACTTAGGGGAGATAGACAATAGCCAGGTAAACACGAAAGGAAATGAGATCATTTCAGAGGGTGCTAACTGACTTAGTACAGACAATAAAACAGGGCAAAGGAACAGTGAGTCCCTGGGGAGGGAGTTGGTGACTGCTTCAGGCTGGGAGGTCCCAGAAGGCCTCTCTAAGGTGCCTCCTAAGAAGGAGTCAGCCATTTGAAGACCTGGGGGATCTTTGAGCACCAAGCACACAGTAGGGCTCACCAAACCATGACCCCCGGAGCATGGGAAGCCCCAGTGACTACAGGCGCAAGTCCCACCTGCCATGCTCACTCTACCCCTTCCACCTCCAGGTTTCATAGGGAAGGGGATGCTGACCGGGGTCATCGCAGGAGCCGTATTCACCTCCCCAGCAGTGGGCAGCATCCTGGCAGCCATCAGGGCAGTGGCCCAGGCTGGCACAGGTAAGCCTGGCATGCAGGAGGGGCTGCAGCGGGGAGGGCACAGTAAGGGTGCTGAGCCCTGCCGGCTGCTCCCGCAGTGGGGACCCTCCTCATCGTGAAGAACTACACTGGGGATCGGCTCAACTTCGGCCTGGCCAGGGAGCAGGCCCGGGCTGAAGGCATCCCGGTGGAGATGGTGGTGATCGGGGATGACAGCGCCTTCACCGTCCTGAAGAAGGCAGGCCGGCGGGGGCTGTGTGGCACGGTGCTTATACACAAGGTAGGCTTCCACTGGGGACACAGAGACTGGCCAACCCCTTCCAGCCTTCCCTTGCCTGGCAGCACCCTGTAACTGGACCTTTCCAGCCCTTCCCCAAGAAGCTATTTCTTTTTCTCCAGTGTTCCCTGATCTCAGAAGGCCCCGCCATCCCCTCAGCTACCTAAGCCCAGATACAGGCATTTTCCCAGACTCATGCCCTTCTCTTCTCCACACCCAATCAGTTGCCCAGTTCTGGCGCTTCTACTCCCAAATGTATATAACACACATCCTTCTCAGACCCCGCCCTCCTGCTTTGCCTTGGTTCGGGGGTCATCTGCTCATGCCTAATGGCTGCAGCCACCTCCTCACTGGGCTCCCCTGCTGCTTCCTGCCTTCTGGTCTTGCTCATCCATTCTTCACACGACTGCCAGAGGTGTCTTTTTAAAATGTGTATCTGACTAGGTTCATCCACTGAAAGCCTTCTTGGGTCCTTGGAATCAACACAAGCCCTCACCCCAGCTCCCTGACTCCCCACCTTCATCTCCCATCATCCCTGCCTTCCTCTTTTTAAATTTTCTTTTATTTATTTATTTTTAAATTTATTTTTCTTTTGAGACAGAGTCTTACTCTGTTGCCCAGATTGGAATGCAGTGGCGCAATCTTGGCTCACTGCAGTCTCCGCCGCCCAGGTTTAAGCGATTCTCCTTCCTCAGCCTCCCCAGTAGCTGGGATTACAGGCACCTGCCACCACGCCTGGCTAATTTTTGTAGTTTTAGTAGAGATGGGGTTTTACCATGTTGGCCAGGCTGGTCTCGAACTCCTGACCTCAAATGATCTGCCCTCCTCGGCCTCCCAAAGTGCTGGGATGACAAGCGTGAGCCACCATACCCTGCCATCATTGCCTTACTCTTACGGTCCATTCACGCCAGCTCCTGTACCTGCCAGGCTGTGGGTCATCTCTGGCTTTGCTTATGCAGTGTCTGTGGCCTGGAAAATTCTTTCCTTGTCCAGCCTCCTTTTGGCCTGGCTAACTCCTACCATTCTGCAGAGGCCCAACTCTGATGTCTCCCCACCTGGAAGACTCTCCCTGATCTACATCTCCCCAGTACCCTGAGCTGGCTGGCAGCCCCTCCTAGTGTAATTGTAATTACCACCTCACATAAATTTTCCATCTGTGCGTGTCTGCTTCCCTAGCCTCTCTCCAGGCTGTGAGTTCTTGAAGGTGGGGACTGTGACTTAGCTGCCTTTTTTCCTTTTCAGCATATGCTAGATGCTTGGTAAAAATTGGCTGGATGGATGGATGGATAGATGGGTAAAGTGACCCACAATAGCAAGGCTATGGGAGAGAGAACTCTGGAACTGTAGAGTTGGGAAACTGGCCACCCACTGGCTGTGTGACATTGGACAAGTCACCTCCCCTCTCTGGGTCCATTTCCCCATTTGTAAAGTCTCTTCTGACTCCAACAGACTAGAATTTTTGAAGATTTCTGGCAGGTACAATGTGAATGGCGGGAGTTTGCTCTTCTGCCCTAAATGTGATGGGCCAGGTTGAGTGTGGAAATCGTAAGAGGTTCCCCCTTCCCAACAAGAAACTCACCCCCTGCCTGTCTTCTACCCCACGTGGTACAGTGATACCCGCCCCGCTGGGGCTTTTAACTCTGTATGGCTGCAGGTGGCAGGTGCTCTGGCTGAGGCAGGTGTGGGGCTGGAGGAGATCACAAAGCGGGTGAACGTGGTCGCCAAGGCCATGGGTGAGTGCCGGCCTGGGAGTTGGGCAGGAGAGTGGGGAAGGTTGGGACATCCCCAGGATGAGGAGCAGGTTCTTGTTGGCTGCCTAGCGGTGCTCCCCAGGTTATTTCCCAGGGGTCTAGGGAAGGTATCCCTGGGGGAGCTCCTGGGGACTGGTGGCCTTGGGTACCATGGCTGAGGTGGAGAGTCCGGCAGCTTTCTCAGAGAAGAGGGTGTCTGTGGGCAGGGCTTCTGAGATGCTGCTGCCACCCTTCCTGATGCCCAGTGCTGAGAGTGGAACAGTCATCCCTTCATGCCTTGTTTCTCATAGGTACCCTGGGGGTGAGCTTATCCTCCTGCAGCGTCCCTGGTTCCAAACCCACCTTCGAGCTCTCAGCTGATGAGGTGGAGCTGGGCCTGGGTAAGCTTGTGGCCGCCCATCCCAGCCCTGCCTGCCCCTTAGCCCTGGACTTTGCCCACCTTGTATACCCTGAGAGCCATCAACCTGCTCCTCTCCTCAGGTGGTCTTAGCATTTTTACTTGGGCATTTGAGGCCCAGCCTGGCCCAACCTACCTGATTCCTACCGGCTTTGCCGTCTACACCCAGGGCTTTGGCCATGTGGAGCTCTGTACACTGCCCACCTCCTTGCCTTTGCCGACCATTCCCAGGTCCTCCTGTCCCTGCCAGAATACACCCTTCTTTCAAGGGCTCTTCAAAGATCCCCTGGCTGCAAAGCTTTCTGCTTCCTCCCCTGTGCTTCCACCCTGACTACCTCCAGTTAAAGCTATCTCCACCACCAAGCCACGAGCTCCCAGAGAACAGAGACCATGTTTTTCATTATTCTGTCCCTTTCCATCCCCGACTCCCGCCCACTTACCATGTGAGTCCAGCACTGTGTGGGTCCTTGATAAAAACGATGAGCAAATCCCCAGGCCCTGAGTGGGTCAGCAGTGACCACGTCTATCCGCAGGGATCCACGGGGAAGCTGGTGTGCGCCGGATAAAGGTAAGTGGTCGCCCTGGCGCAGGCCACCCTAAGGCCAAGGCCTCCCAGATGTAGCTCATTCCTGGCTCCCTGTGACAGATGGCAACTGCTGATGAGATTGTGAAACTCATGCTCGACCACATGACAGACACCACCAATGCGTCCCATGTGCCTGTGCAGCCCGGTGGGTAGCCTCTCGCCCACGTCTCCCAACCCTTCCTACACCTCTGGGCAGGAGATGCCCAGAGGGTCTCACCTGGGGTGTCATGTCTACCCACAGGCTCTTCAGTTGTGATGATGGTCAACAACCTGGGTGGCCTGTCATTCCTGGAATTGGGCATCATAGCCGATGCTGCCGTTCGCTCCCTGGGTGAGCCATGCACTGGGAAGGGGAGCCTGCAGCCCTCTGGAAAGGGCTGAGGGAGGGCCTTGTGATGGCAGAGAACACGGACTGTGCGTCGGATAAGTCTGAGTTAAATCGTCTCTCTGCCACCTAATTGCTGGATACCTTGAGCCTCTGTTTATTTTCTTGTCTGCAAATTTGGGGTAATAATAATGGTACCTGCATTATACCGTTGTTGTGAGGATTAAGTGAGATTAAACATATGTAAGGCACTCCACACAGCACCCAGCACCTGGCACGAACTGAGTAAATGAGACCTGTAATTGCTCATCTGCCGTGAAGTAGGGGAACATGGTCATTTGTGGGGTTGAGGGATGCCTGCCAGGAGGAAATCAGGCCATCCCCGTCCTGACCTCAGTGCCCCAGCTTCCAAGGTCCTTGCTTTTCTTTTGTTTCTTTCCCTGATGCCCATTTTTCCCTTCTGGACCGCCATGCTCTGGTATTGCAGAGGGCCGCGGGGTGAAGATTGCCCGTGCCCTGGTGGGCACCTTCATGTCAGCACTGGAGATGCCTGGCATTTCTCTCACCCTCCTGCTGGTGGATGAGCCTCTCCTGAAACTGATAGGTGAGACTTGGAACCTGGGGTCACCCAAGCCAGGGCTCCTTGTAGCTGGAAGGAGTCAGGGAGACTTGGAGACTCCATCAGGGCTGACCGTGACAATCAGGGCTCTGCAGCCTGTGAAGAAGGACCTTTCTGGGCTTCTCCAGCCTTCTCCAGCTGTCACTGGTACTAGGAGGAGTTGGTATTAGGATCCTCCTCAGATAGGCCTGACCCTTTTCCTAGGGACCCTCTCTCCATACCCCTGTACACAGTAGGCACTCAGTCCATGCTTGTTGAGGTGGACTCCCTTCCTCCAGGGCTGCTGAGGGAGCCAGTCCACCAGGGCCAGGATGGAGGGGTCCAAGCCCTGCTGAATCCCTGGCTGGACAGCCATGTCTAAGAGAGTTATCTTGCTGCTCTTAGATGCTGAAACCACTGCAGTAGCCTGGCCTAACGTGGCCGCAGTCTCCATTACTGGGCGGAAGCGGAACCGGGTAGCCCCTGCCGAGCCCCAGGAGGCCCTTGATTCCACTGCTGTAGGAGGTACCAACTCCTGCCTCTGGGGAAGGGACAGGCTTCCCAAAGGATGCAGGGGTATGCGGTGGGGTGGGTAGGGGCCCTGGCACCCACATCTCCCACCCCAGTCAAGTGTGGTGGTGAGAAGGGCCTGGTGGGCCTGTTCTTCACCATCCTCCCTTTCTAGGCTCAGCCTCGAAGCGGATGGCGCTGGTGCTGGAACGGGTGTGCAGCACCCTCCTGGGCCTGGAGGAACACCTGAATGCCCTGGACCGGGCTGCTGGTGATGGCGACTGTGGCACCACCCACAGCCGTGCGGCCAGAGGTTGGTGCCAGGGACTTTTCCAAGTTAGGTCATCCACAAAACCCTAGGCCCCCTTCCACCTGTTGCCTTGAAGACAGGGACTTTTCTTTTTTTTTAAGAAGGAGTCTTACTCTGTTACCGGGCTGGAGTGTCCAATGGCGTGATCTCAGCTCCCTGCAGCCTCCGTCCCGCCGGGTTCAAGCAATTCTCCTGCTTCAGTCTCCCGACTAGCTGAGATTACAGGCGTGCGCAGCCACGCCTGGCTAAATTTTTGTGTTTTTAGTGGAGGCAGGGTTCGCTATGTTGGCCAGGCTGCTCTCTAACTCCTGACCTCAAGCCATCGCTCACCTTGGCCTCCCAAAGTGCTGGGATTACAGGCATAAGCCACTGTACCTGGCTGACAGTGACCTTCTTAATAGCACAAATGTATGAGGTTATTATCTTAGAATTAAATGAAATCCTTCACAGTGAATAACTTACAACTCAAGCAAAACATATTCTGTTGTCCTTATTTTTCTCAGTTTACCCAGACCAGTGAAAAGCTCTTAACTGTCCAGCATCATTCATTCGAGAAAAAGGTATTTGGTGTCTGCCATGGGGCAGGCACTGCTCTCAACTGTGGATACAGTAGTGAACAGAGCAGACAGAAATCACCGCCCTCATGGCTTATGTTCTGGGTGGAAGACAGTCAACAAGATAAATCAGTAAAACAGAGGATGTTAGCACAAAGGGCTAAGGAGAAAAAACCAAGCCAGGAAGTGGAGTACACAGTGTCAGGTGGAGGGGCTTCGAGGCAGGCCTCACCTCCCCAGGCCCCTTTCGGTTCTACAGTCCAGCCCCTCTCTAGACTGCACACTGAATGTGGAAAGGGATCTTGGGAAGCCTTCATTTCACCTCCCTGTCAGCCTTTTCCAGCCATCATTGGTGCTGGCTGGAAGTCTAGCAGATGGAGGGAGGGTCTCTGAATTCCTCCCCGTCTCTCTGTGCCTGCAGCAATCCGGGAGTGGCTGAAGGAGGGCCCACCTCCTGCCAGCCCTGCCCAGCTGCTCTCCAAGTTGTCTGTCCTGCTCCTGGAGAAGATGGGAGGCTCATCTGGAGCGGTGGGTGCCTGGGGGCTGAAGGGCTGACAGGGAGGTAGGTGGGTGCCGGGGGGCTGAAGGGCTGACAGGGAGGTAGGTGGGTGCCGGGGGGCTGAAGGGCTGACAGGGAGGTAGGTGGGTGCCTGGGGGCTGAAGGGCTGACAGGGAGGTGGCTGGGCCGGCTGGGGTCCAGGCCAGCACCACATGCTCAGTGTTCTCATCCTCCCCAGCTCTATGGCCTGTTCCTGACTGCGGCTGCCCAGCCCCTCAAGGTCAAGACCAGCCTCCCAGCCTGGTCTGCTGCCATGGATGCCGGCCTGGAAGCCATGCAGAAGTGAGCCGGGGCCCTGTGCATCAGACCAGGGGTGGGCTGGGGGAGGTGGTTGGTGACATCTGCCCCCTGCCAGGCCCTAGCCCCACCCTCAGAGTGATTCCCTTGGTTCCCTATAGTGAGCCTCTTTCATTCTCTCCCTGCTAGGTATGGAAAGGCTGCCCCAGGGGACAGGACTATGGTGTGTACTCGGGCTGTGGCCCTAGACCTTTCTCCTTTTGAGCCTGTAAACCCTAAAGAGCACCCTCAGTTGCAGGGCCTGTGCTCAGCCCCCTCTCCCTCACCTTGTCCAGCTGGATTCTCTGTGGGCAGCAGGGCAGGAGCTCCAAGCCTGGAAGAGCCCAGGAGCCGATCTGTTGCAAGTCCTGACCAAAGCAGTCAAGGTGAGTGAGGCTGGGCCCAGCCACCCAGGGAGACAGGCTTCTAGCCACCAGACTCCTGTCTCCATGTGACCCTGAGCAAGTTAATAACCTTCCTGGATCACAGTTTCCTTCTCTGTACAATGGAGATGAGCACCTATCTCAGAAGGTGGTTATGTGGCTAAGGAAATATGTAGAGCCCTGCACACTGCCTGGGATGTGACAGGGCCTCAGTGAATGGTGACCCTTTTCCCTGCTGGAAGTAGATGAGAGGTAACTTTCCATTTGGTGACAGAGCAGAGGGTGCTGGCAGAGCCAGGGCAAGAGCATGCAGGGCCAGGCTGCACGGCAGAGACGTTCTGCCCATGGCAGGAAGGAGGAGGCCTGATGGCCTGCCCTTGAACCTGCTCCCACACCCCATCCCCCAGAGTGCCGAAGCTGCAGCAGAGGCCACCAAGAATATGGAAGCTGGAGCCGGAAGAGCCAGTTATATCAGCTCAGCACGGCTGGAGCAGCCAGACCCCGGGGCAGTGGCAGCTGCTGCCATCCTCCGGGCCATCCTGGAGGTCTTGCAGAGCTAGGGTGTGTGACTGCCTCCCTTGGCCTCAGCTCCTCTCACTGCTGTGCTGAGGTGGCCCTTGTCACTTCTGCCTTCCAACCGTCACTTTCCCCTGGCCTGGCTCCATTGGCCCACCCTCTAAGTTGAGCAGGAAATCCTCCACCAAGCTTCCAGAACTACAGACAGCACCCAGAGCGAGCTGGAGTGGGTCCCCGTGCCTCTCCAGCATGCCCTTTCCCTTTGTGAGAGGGTGGAGTCCCTGGGTCATGCCCTCCCCTGCCAGTTCTGGGCTTCAGAGATAAGGCATTTTCCTTGTGCAGCCTTTATCTGGCAATCCTAATTTGGTTTTAAGACTCTCTGTGAAATGCCTTCTGCACCTTAATCCCAATGAGCATGGAAAAGAAAGTTAATAAACTATAATACATGGAAGCAAGAAAGCCACTGCCTCCTCTGAGGGACCTTTCCCATGCATGTAAACAAAGGGGCCCACAGCCCTGGCTGCAGGCATCATGAGCCATCTTCTACCAGGCAGATCTTTATTACCTGAGCCCCTAAATTAGTGTCTCCTCAGCTGGGCTGCTTCCACCGAGACCCCCAACCTGTCCCCTTTCCAGTACACACGCCTGATTCGTGTAAGAATGGTAGGTAGGCTTTTCTCAGCATCGAATTAACAATTCATTGGCTCCTTGGGAGTCAAATGGGCATTTGGGACACCAGAAGGAAAATAAATCATCATGTCTAAGGTTCAGTTGTAGATTAGAAAATGCAGCCAGGCCGGGCATGGTGGCTCACACCTGCAATACCAGCACTTTGGGATCCCTTACACTCAGGAGTTCAAGACCAGCCTGGGCAACATGGTGAAACCCTGGCTCTACCAAAAAATACAAAATCAGCCAGGCATGGTAGTGTGTGCCTGTAGTCCTAACTTCCCGGGAGGCTGAGTTGGGAGGATGGCTTGGGCCCAGGTGGTCGAGGCTGCAGTGAGCCGTGATCATGCCACTATACTCCAGCCTGGGCAACAGAGCGAGGGGAGGGGAGGGGAGAGGAGGGCTGTGGCCAAGCCAGCCCCTAGGTCTCTTTCTAGAGCAATCACTGATAGCACCAGGGTGAGAAGGGGCATTCTGTGCATGTGGAGACCAATAGCACGTGCCTGGCACGCATGTAGGGTAGGGAGTGGTTAAAGGCACTGGCTGTTGACTTATACACATGATCTGAAATCTGGTTCTGCTTTAACCTGGTTACATGAGCTAAGGCCTATTTTTTAGCCCCTTGGGATCTGTAAAATCAGAATGGTACCCACCTCACGGGGACATGAAAGGATTCCAATGAACTGATGAAGATGAAGCCCAGCACAGTCCAAGTGCTCACTCACTGGGAGTTATCACAAGGGTTGGGCCCCCAGCCCCTCCCAGGTCATCCGCTTCACCACTAGCTGGTAGGAAACAGCCTCCTGTGCCCCCCAACCCCCGTCACCTACTTCGCCCAAATTGGCTGTGGCTCCCCCAGTGCCTGGGCTTCTCTACCCAGGGTCCTGTCTGTCAGCTGCACCATATGTCCCTGACCACAAGGCGTCCTGCACAGGGGTGTGTGCCCAGCAGCTGCGAAGGAGGCTGGCCTCAGACAGTGGCCTGTGGATCCCAGCTCTGTCACTTCCTGGCTGGGTGACCTCAACCTAGTCACTTAACCTTTTTGAGTCTTGTTTTCTCAGATTATGAAATAGGAAAAATTTCCTTCCTCGTGAGATAAGCAAGTGCCATTAGCAATTAAGGACATCCGCACATAAATGAGCTGCATGTGAATCCACACATGCCATTCCATGAAGACAGAGGATCATGTGGACCTTTGGTGCCTTCCAGTTGGCCCCTCCCTAGGTCTATGAGGGTCAGACCTGTCCTGAGGCTTTTACAAATTGGCCCAGAACTCATTTAACTACAGCATCATTTCATCAGAGGGCTGCTATTAGAGACTGAATGAATATGTCCCCCCCGCAAATTCCTGTGTTGAAAGGCTCACCCCCACTATGGTAGTGTTAGGACGTGGGGCCTTTGGGAGGTGGTTGGGTTATGAGGGTGGAGCCCCAGAGAGCTCTCACGCCCTTTCCACCATGTGAGGTTACGGTGAGAAGACGGTCTCTGAGGAAGCTGGCGCTTGCCACACACCACATTTGCCAGTGTCTTGATCTTGGATGTCTATAGCCTACAGAACTGTGAGAAATAAACGCTTGTTGTTTAAGCCACCCAGGCTATTATATTTTTGTTATAGCAGGCTGAACAAAGACAGCTTTGATTCTTAACATATTTAATGAAACTCGGGCTTCATAAACCAGTGAAATGCCTACCCCTATGGCGACAGGGAGCTGGTCATGGGACCTAGGTGCCTGGAGGACATCCCAGTGGCTTTGAAGGCTCCAGCCAATCAAGATGTTCAATATTAGCCCTTCTGCCAACATCTGGCAATGTGAGGCTGGGGCGGACAGTTGGCCTGATGTTGCCAGGAGTAGGATGCTGATGCTGCTAGAGAGTAGGTGGGCTCCAAACCCCAGGCTTCTCACTTGCCTACTAAGCACAGCAGTCTGGAATTTGGGACCTGGCAGTGCGTCTTTGGAGAAGGCAAAAAAGCCACAGCAGCAACACTTAGGAGAGGAGCAAGACCCTTCCCCCTCCCCACCGTATTTCCTCCTCTGAAGAAGAACAATAGCTCAAGCTCTAGCATGGCACAGAACACTGGGTTGGGCTAGGCAAGCAGCCATGGTGGGGGCAGGTGAAGCAATGTGGGTCTCAGCAAGGAACCCCTCTGAAGGTGGCAGTGGCTCCCAGGGCTGCTGCACACAGGACACCACAACTTTGGCATCAGTTGCATGGTGAGCTGCAGTGATCAGAGGGGCTGGGGCCCTGCCAAGAGAGCAAGGCCAGATCTGCCCAGCAGGAGGCAGGAAGGCCCTGATCCAGCAAGGGGAAGTAAAGGAAGTCTACAGCCACCTGTTACTCATCGCTACTGGGACATCTGGGGACAGGCTCTGTTCTTGGGAGAGCAGGTTACCAGGATTCGTAGGGCTGCCTGCCGGTGACAGGCATGTAAGTCACAGGGAAAGGCCGGGATCCAGGCCGCGGCTGTAGCAGCAGCTGGAAGAGGTGGAGCCGCGCGGTCACAATACACGCAGACACAGAGCAGCAATACGAAACAGAACGGCTCAGGGCAGTCAGCTCCTCAGCAGAAGCTGTGTGGGCCGCCACTCCCCGCTTCTGCAATCACCCCATGATGTCTCCACCCCACCTCACATCCAGACGGGGCTGGATGGCAGAGCAAATGAAGCCTGCTCTGTGGCGGGGCAGCCTAACTGAAACGCACGCCTTTATGGGGGAAGCGGACGGACACCTCACCTCCCTCATGGTTCACATCGTGGACTGCACTTGAGTCCCAGCTCTTCACCACATCCCTAGGAGTCTTAAGAGGAAATCAATCTGATTTCTTCAGACAGGAGCAGCAAGAGTGGCCAGAGCAAGGAGGACCTCGTGTGAATGGAGGACCTGAGAGGCTGATGCCAAGGAGAACAGAAGCCAAAGCCACCAAGAAAAGCAGACAGGCAGCAAGCGGCTGGAGAAGGCAGGCCCAGTACCCAGGCGAGAAGTTTGGGCCCAGCATTCGAAGAAAGTTGCCTGCTGAAACCAGCTGGGAGCCCTGGGAAGAGCAGAGCTTCTGGGGGACACAGGCTGCACCACCAGGAGCTCCTGGGAGCCCCTTCCTGCTGCTTCACTCCCCATCATGCAGCAGGGGCTGGAAAGACAGGCAGATGCCAAGGAGTTAATGACATGATGCAGGAGTCACACCAGGCCCAAGCTATTCAGAGAGACCCCCAACCTGCAGGGTGGTCCCCACCCAAGCCACCACATCCCTCAGGGAAGCCCCAAAGTCCCTGAGCCTGGTACACACCCCATCTCCCTACATCCCATCAAGACCTGCTCCGAGCACTCAGCTGGTCACCACGTACCCATCCCACTAGACTAGCCCCCAGGCTGGTAAAGGAGAAATCACACACCCTTGTCATAGTCAAGCCCTTCCTTGGGGAAGAAGATAAGGCCACACTTCACCCCACAGAACCACAGTAATTTGGGGGGAAATTCTGTCGCCCAATGGACAGACCCTGGGGAGTCCCAGCATTTCGCTGGGATGCGCTGGTTTGGAACCAGTGCTCCCCATCAGCCACCCTAACTCCACCCTCAAGTTACTTGGTTTCCCACTGTGCCACAGGGTTAGTCTTCTTGTCAAGGCCCCAGCCTTTTGTGGGAGATCCTTCTCTAAACCTGGCCCTGTCTCACCCTGGAATGTGGGACTGGAACCCATACCTGTCTGTCGGTCAAGATCCCTGGCTCTGGGCGCTTCCAAGATGAAGCCAGAAGGATGTAGAGCACCAGCAGCCCGAAGGCCACCACCAGCATCCCGGTGCTGTTGGCAAAGACCGCCTCACTGGGCAGGCTGTTGTATGGCCTGGTGGTGTTTTTCCTGAAGATGACAAAACAATGTGAGCCCTCGAGAGATTTTTCCACCTATTTCTGTCTAGTGGGAGACTCGATGTCACTGAGAGGGTGAGAAAACCTTCCCGGGGCCACATGTGATCTAGAATTTTAACACCCTTTCTAAGTCCCTGCAAATATTTGTATAATGAGCCAGGCACAGTGGCTCACTCTTGTAATCCCAGCACTTTGGGAGGCCAAGGCATGAGGATTGCTTTACCCCAGGAGTTCCAGACTAGCCTGTGCAACATTGCAACATAGTGAGATCCTGTCTCTACAAAAATAAAGCTTAGCTGGGTGAGGTGGTCCATGCCTGTAGTCCTGGCTTACTTGGGAGGCTAAATTGGGAAGATCGCTTGAGTGCAGAAGTTTGATGCTGCAGTAAGCTATAGTGACACCATTGCTCTCCAACCTAGGCAACAGAGTGAGATGCTATCTCTTGGGGGGGGATAAAAGGAGAGAGAGGGTCTTCCTACGTTGCCCAGGCTGGACTCCTTCCACCTCAGCCTCACTAGTAGCTGGGACTACAGGTGCATGCCACTGCACCCAGCTGTAATAATCCTTTTACCCATGAGGAAACTGAAGCTCAAAGCAATGAAATTAACTTGCCCAAAGATGCATAATTAGTAAATGGCACAGCCAAGATCGAAACCACAGTCTGACCTTAAGTCCTAGTTGCTTTTCACTACACCCCACTGCCTCAAAAAAATGGACAGTAGTGGTCAGGCATGCAAGGCTCTAGAGTCAGACTGCCTAACCCGAGCCTCAGCTCTGCCACTTACTGGCTGTGTGCCGTTGGGTAAGTTTACGTAACCCCTCTGTTCTCTCATTTGTTTTGTTCTGTTTTTTTTTTCCTTTTTACCTGAACAGTCCTATTGCAGAATCTGTTCCAATTGAAAATGGCAATGATGGCATTACAGGCACGGTGGCTCACGCCTGTAATCCCAGCACTTTGGGAGGCTGAGGCGGGCGGATCACGAGGTCAGGAGTTTGAGACCAGCCTGCCCAGCATGGTGAAACCCCATCTCTACTAAAAATACAAAAAATTAGCTGGGCATGGTGGTGCGCTCTTGTAGACCCAGCTACTTGGGAGGCTGAGGCAGGAGAATTGCTTGAACCCGGCAGGTGGAGGTTGCAGTGAGCCAAGATTGTGCCACTGCGCTCCAGCCTGGGCAACAGAGCGAGACTCCGTCTCAAAAAAAAAGAAAATAGCAATGACAACAATACCAATGATGTAGGGTGGTTGACAGGATTAAATGTAAGGTGCTTAGGACAGTTTCTGACACAAAGCAGGTGCTAAATCAAACTGATGCTCAATAAATATCTGCTGACTTACCAATTTCAACCTAAAGAAAGATCAATTCTGTTACCTTCCAGATCAGGAATGGGCCCAACCCCAAAAGCTCTCCTCCCTTGGGTGAGTCCTGTGATCACAGGGTGTATCTTTTGAAGACCCTATTCCCTCCTCTTCACCTTAGAGTTGGGGACCCCACTGCACTCACAAACTGAAGAAAAGCTTCTCATTAATGCCGGAAATGACGGATGCGATGGACAGAGAGAGGATGGCGGCTCCAAAAAAGACGTGGATGGGTTTCAGGAGGCTGCGCAGCCACATGGACGCCCAGGGCAGGAGGAAGACAGCAAAGCCCAGGCACCACTGTGGACAAAAGGGAGGACGCACCCAACTGTGCTGTGTGTGACCAAAGCACAGCCCACCCCAGCAGCGCCTCCTCCCCATCTCTACTCCCTGGATGTTCTTTCACAACTCAGACCCTCCCACCAGGCATTGCCCACCACCATGCTAGCTTCCTCAATGTGGCCTATTACCCAAGCAACAAGAACAGTAAATGACATGCTTAGCTACCATCCCACTCCCAGCAAACCTAACCACCTTGTTTGTCTCTGCTTCCTTCCAGTCCTTGCTCATAAAACTCCTCACTTGCACAGGCCTGAGATCAGAATATGGGAAGCACTTCTAGAATTCTTTTGGTTCACAGAGGTGGGAGTGGGGAAAGTGGAAGCCAGATGGCTGATTAGAGTCCACATGGTACGTGCCATGACAAAGTTAGCAGAGAGGGCTCTGGGACAAGAGACGGGCAATGGGAGGGATAAAAGGAACAGAGTAAGTTCAGGCCACTGACCTCCCATAGCCCTTGAAGAAACTGTCAATTCTACAGGATACAACCTCCAAGGCTCTCTCCAGGCAGTGAGCAGAAGGAATATTTGGTGCTCATGCAAGTGAACCCCCAACCAGAGCTCATGGCTCTAGGAACCTCGAGGAGGAGCGCAGAGAACCCACCTGGCAGGCGAAGAGGAAGACAGCGGTGATGCCCAGCCAGCTGTGCAGGGAGTAGAGGTTGGCAATCTTTCCATGGTTGTGAAACGTAAAGACAGCAACCAGCCCCACAACAGTGAGGATGAAGGCCATCAGGTGCAGCGCTGCATGGAGGAGTTTCCAGGGCAGTTTGGGCCCCACCCATGACTGGGGCAGGCGGTACACCAGTGACGCTGCAGGAGAGCAGTCCTAGGGCTCAGCATCGAGGAGAGGGCAGTCCCAGGGCTCAGCCTCTCCCCTCGTGCTCACCCAGACATCAGGGAATAACCCTGATAGGATCCTACACGGTTTCCCAGCAAGGGAACAGGAAATGCTAGGGCACTGGTATCAACTCCTTGGCATCTTTTATCCTCCCATAATTTGTGGGATAACAGTCAGCCACGAAGGGAG